TGCTTTGCTTGTTCATTTCAAGACTTAAATTAAACATTTTGAAACACCTACTTAGATTTCTTTACTGCTTGTTTCGTCAACGTTGTCAAGTTAAAATTTAAAGTATCTCACGTTTGTTTCTTCTTCTCACAGGAGTCCAAGGAGTTCCTGCAGTACTTCATCGAGTGAGTAATCGGCTTCATTTGTACATTGATGCTGTTTCTGATGTTGATATGTGGTAGTGCTACTACTGTGTAGCTGATGTGTAAACGTGCTATTAAAAGAACCCTCTGTCTCTCTCTGCAGGAAGCTGCAGTTCCAGCCTCTGTCAGCAGAGGTCCCCGTGCTGTTCCGGGTGGTGGAGCTGCCTCAGAAACATCATCTGTGTAAAGTCAAATCTCTCAACAAAGCAGACGCCAACTCCGAGGTCACCGTCTACTTCCAGGTAGGAAAACTAAACGATCACACCGGACTACAAATGAGAACTACAAAACTTCAGCTTTCACTTTCTTTTAATTGTCGTGTTTGTAAGGTTCAGTTCACACTAATTTCAGACCTAAGCTCATAAAACTGTCCATATAGTTTGAGTTTTAGATGATTTAATATCCGCCCTGTTTTGGGGGTGCCAGACAGTGTGGTGGTTATGTTGCGTACAGAGGCTGTGGTCCTGGTCTTAGTGTCCGTGGCTTTGCTGCACATCCCTTACTCTCTCTCCTCCCAACATTTCCTGTTCTATCTAAAAAACGTTTTTCAATGTGTTTTGTGTTTTTAGTCGGGGCTGAAGAACCTGAGAGAGCACGCTCTGATGGAGCTGATGGTGGTGAGTGTTCACTGACTTTTAGCTGCAGCTGCACAAAGACGAGTCTTGTTCTTTAAATCTCTTTGACGTCCGTCTGTCTCCACAGATGCACATGGAGGAGCCGTGTTTCGACTTCCTAAGAACCAAGGAGACTCTGGGGTCAGTTTTCAGTCATTCATACAGAGCTGCATGACCACCTGACTTAGCTCAACACACACACACACACACACACACACACACACACACCACACACACACACACACACACACACCACACACACACACACACACACACACACACACACACACACACACACTGCTGGGTAGGAGGCAGAGCTGCACAGTTCACAGTAAACATGATCACTACATAAATATGACGCAGGGTCTTAACAACAGACCAGGAATTTGCAGCCCCCTGGTGGGTCATGAAGGTACTGCAGGTGTTGGCTGTGAGAGGTCAGAAAATATAATTATTTTGCTTTTCAAGATTAAAGATTAAAGCAGGCTGAAGCTATATGAGCCACCTGCTGATACCTGCATGATAAATACAGATACAATAAGATGAACCAGAGTCACTGCAGCCTGAGAAACAATCACAATACTCTGAAATATATACATATAACACTTTTCTTAATTTTCTCGCTGAGGTACAAGATTTTTTCCAAGAGAGTCCTGAACCAGAGAGCAGCATCAGAGATTCACACAATAAACAAACTTTACATCAATCAACCAATCAGAAGCCTCCAGCAGAGAACATGTGAATACAGTGGTCAAATGATCCTTTATCCTGCTTTTTAAAATCTTCCAAGCCGATTAAACAGACTCTGCAGCTCAGACCGAGACGATGGTGCTAACACACTCAAAGCGCTTTCACCAAAGTGAGAGAACGTTTTGTTGAGATCTGATCAGGAAGTGTCGTCAAGGGGCGCTGCGCCACAGATGAACATGTTTTAATATCTGAACAGCAAGCGTGCTGCGCTCACCTCAATAGGGTGCAGACGCGCTCTTGCACTGCGCTACACATAGACAGTGAATGGGTTTTAGAGTGGCTCGCAGCGCCCACCACATCCTTTCTGAAAGGACGCTCATCGATGCCTGTGGGGCTGCGCGTGTTTAAGGGCGGATAAAATAAGTAGGGAAAATTGGAATATAGGGTTTTTATACCTGTACCTGTCGTACTTTTTACGTCGATGTTGTAGAATCAAAAGAATTCTGGTGATAAAGAGTTCTTTTCCTTTCAGGTACCAGGTGTACCCAACCTGCAGGAACACCTCAGGGGTGCTGGGATTCTCTGTCACCGTGGAAACACAGGCCACCAAGTTCAGGTGAGCTGACCTCTGTTGACCTCTGCTGCAGGTTTTGTTGTTTTGTTTTGACGCTCCAGGCGACTGAGCGGACGTGTTTTTGTCTTTTTGTCCTTTCAGCACAGAGTTTGTGGAGGCGAAGATCGAGGAGTTCCTTGTCAGCTTCGGCGAGTGTTTGTCGGGTCTTAGCGAGGAGGCGTTTAAAACGCAGGTGACCGCTCTCATCAAGCTGAAGGAGTGCGAGGACGCTCACCTGGGAGAGGAGGTCGACCGAAACTGGTTTGAGGTCGTCACGCAGCAGTACGTCTTCAAGCGGCTCAACAAAGAGGTGAGAGGCACTTCCATTCCTCGTTCTGTGATGACCTCTTACCACACCTCACACCACAGGAGAGTCTGGAAAGATCATCTTAGTAACCATCAGCTAATCGGGCTTTTGCTGGCTCCATAATCGTCCTGTTTTCACACATGTACTCTCATAAGCTTTGTCAACAACAATGGCTGATGAGAACATGTGACTCGTCTTTTCCAGGACTTTTAGTGCTGCTGAGTTTTTGAACAGAATCAAATATTAAGCACACTGATTAATTTAAAACAGACTAAAGAGTCACTAATTGAACTAACTGAGACACAGGCCCCTGTCGACTCATCCTTAACATACTTATTAAGAAGACTTTTTCTAAATCACAACATCTAATGACCATGAACTCATACAGCTTACAGTCACTTAGTGGACTCTGCAGGTCTCTGGTTCTGGCTCTGATCGGCTGTGTTTTGTGCAGATCGAGGCCCTGAAGGTCTTCAGTCAGGGGGAGCTGGTCTCCTGGTTCATGGAGCACAGAAACGGCAGCAGTAGGAGGCTCAGCGTGCACGTGAGTCTGTTTGTTGAGTTGACGTCATGAAGGTTTGTAAATCTCTCGTAGACTGAGTTTGAACCCTTTTGTTCTCCCCCCCCCCCCCGGTGTGGACTAGGTGGTCGGTTTCGGCGTGGAGAGAACGACCCGCCTGAGCAGAGTGTCTGCTGCAGCCAGGACAGCCCCGACTCCCCCCCTCCTCCTCGGCATACGGGGAGGTGAGCGAGCTGAACTTCCTGCCTGCCTCCTCGCCGGCGCTCCAGGACGTCACGCTCATCTCAGACATCAGAGCGTTCACCTCATCCCCTCCACCCATACCACAAAATCCTCAGCTAGGTCCGGACGGACGGTGAAGGTGAAGAACGCCTCGTTCACTCTGTCAGTGTGTCGGGGAAAATAAAGTTACCATTGAAACAGCTAGCATCCATGTTTGATGAAAGAGGATGGACACACCTTGAGGAACTTTTAACACGCGTTTAGTTTTATTGTGAGTGTTGTAAAATGCTGCGTTCATGTCCTGTGGGAAAAACAAAGATCTGGGCCTGTATTTATCACACACGTCGTCATCAGTCCCTTAAAATCCTCTGGAGAGCTGCATGTTCACATAAAAAAAAAATACTATATGTAGCTTAAAGCTCTGCAGTGTGCAAAAGCAAAAAAAAAAGAGGCTGACTATAGCGTGCTGTTTATATGCAAAGGTAGGACGCTTACTTTACCTAATAATGACTGTTACTAATAAGCTATTTGCACTAACTAGGCCAGCGGACAATAACAACTCAAAACGCTTTTCTATCATGACAGTAATGCTTTAACACAAACAGTAATAATGATGCAAACAGAAGTTTTAATTGATGTAATATAACACCACGATCAAACACCTTTCCTCTGTCATTAACTCGATCAACTTTATTAATCCCACATGAGGAAAGTTGGGTCGACACAGCTGGTACTTAGAAACACAAACAACAATCAGTTCAACATACTTAAATATGGAATCAGTTCTAACATTAATTCTGAACAGAAGAGCTGAGCGAACATGAATCAGAACCTGTTTTTTACTCCTTGTTCACGTGGTTACGACCAGTTTGTGATTATTATTTCAAGAAGTCGACTTGTCTCGTATCGTCAGAGGCAAAAGCACGAAACGGTTATAGAAAACGTAGCGTAGAACTTGGTGTTTCAAGCCCCGTGTTCACTGAGCTTCTTTTTTTTTCTGAGCGCCTGCAACTTTTTTCAATTGTTTTCAATGAGGAGAGAGCGTTTCCAATGAGGAGAGAGCGTTTCCAATGAGGAGAGAGCGTTTCCAATGAGGAGAGAGCGTTTCCAATGAGGAGAGAGCGTTTCCAGCAGCAGACGGACACCCGGAGAAAAAGCGCAGTGCTGCTCAGTGTTTTTTTTCCGGGCGCTCTGCCTTTTTTTATGCAGTCGCCCCAAGCACTGAAGCTAGGGTGAGCCTAGAGCGTGTTAAGAGTGAGCTTAGAGTGAGCTTTAAGCTAGCATAGGGCGAGCTTCAAATGAGTTTAGAGCGATCTTAGATTGAGTTTAGGGCGAGCTTAGAGCAGTTTAGAAGAGAGCTTAGATTGAGTTTAGAGCAAGGCATCACAGGTGTTATCATGTGTAAATTACAAACTGATGTCAGTTTCTTTTTTCAGAGGGAGGTAGGTGCCATAAACCTGAGAACAAGTTCAGAGGTGGATTCAAATGAAAGGGTTAAAAGACAAAAAGGGAATATTCTTTTAAATTAGTTTAGCTTCATAAGGAAAAGCTTTGTGAGTTTCACTTAATTTACTAGAACAGTGTTTTTGAGTTCATGTGAATGTATTAGTTCAGTTCAGCGCACACGTTACTGGGAGTAAAACTTTTTTTATCCCAAAATACATTCATGATTACGATTTTAGTTATAATCAAGCAGCTTTAAAACAATATATATTCTTTGTGTTTCCTGGTTTGTAAATACAGGCCCAGAGCTTATAGAAAAATACTGTTCAGCTTATTTTCTGTTGGAGTATGTTTGATTTTAATTAAAGTCATCGACCAGGTCTGTTCAGACAAACTCCTGAGTTAAGATGAAGGTTGATCTTTTCTGTAATAAACCTGAACAGAATGAAGAGCAGGAAATAACAATCACTGCATCCCTTATTGGTTTAAACGAGTCAGCTCCGTCGCTTTGACTGTGAAAAATGTAGTATGATCATTTCCAGGGAGTAAGTGAATGCAGCACGAAGACTCAGGGCTCTGGTTTAAAATCCAGTCTGATACAAGAGACGACAAAGACGGGCATCTGTATCTTTAAAATGTGACTTCAGCCAGTATCACTGCGAAACCTACCATGTTTTTATTTATGCGTTTACATATTCATGTTCATACTGACTACTGGATGATGTATATGAAGAATTAAATGTACAGATTAAACAGCTTCTGGTGGCCAGTGATTTCAAACTGTGACGTATTTTAACTCAGAATGTACCGCTGTGGTTTATGAGTCCCGGAGAACGCAACCGAAATAATTTAAAATGACTTAAACTTTCATTTTAAGGACGATTAAAAAAAATACTTAATCAAATGTTTCAGTGAAGAGAAGTTTTGTTTGTTTTTCTGTCCTTCAGTAATTATAGAACAATAATAAAGACTTTTATAAATGCTTCAAATGTAACTTTTATTCAGTGTGTTTCTCTGTTTAAGTGCTGTGATACAAAGTTAAGATCGTATGTCAAACTGGTGTTTAGAAAGCATAGGTTTGGAATAAGGTCAGGTTCGAAGATTTTTAATCATATGTGATAATGCAAAGATTTTATAAGGGTTTAAGATATTTTCACAAGCTTCAAGGAACGTTCTGGATATTTTCTAAGATTTATGATAATAGGGTTGGACTTTGTGACGATCTTTAAGGATAGGTTTGGACTTCTTGAAGATTTTTATAGGGAGAGATATGGATTTTTTTGAAGGGATAAAAAGACATGTTTGGGATTGTTTAGATTTCTTGAGGATATTGAGGAGAGGTTTGGGTGTTTTGACCTTTCTACAACGTAACCATCTGGTGACAGTTCAACAAACCAGATAGGGACCCTGATCTTGCAGTCGTGTTTTCATTTATTGCTTGTGTTTAATGGCAGTAATAACCAGAGGTCTTCATTACACAACAAGTTCAAAAAGTAATGCTTTGTGTGAGTCAGCTGGCTCCATAAAACCTCTGTCTGTATTGGACTGAACTTTGGTACAAGTGTTATGGCTTTTATTGGTAGTCTGATAAGGCCATTTCAGTTTTAATGATATCTGCATACAGCTAACAATCTGCTCTTTGTCGTCACCTCACACCTCCACCATATTCTCTAGTTTGTAAGTCTGCACTGTAACGTTTACGCTTATTATGTAACTCTTTCTATATTTTTATTTTATTTATTTCAATTTATTTTTATTTTAATGATTTTTATTCTATCTTAACATATTTTCAGATTTAATAAGAATATTTGTTTCAGCAAATTTTAAATGTTCTATTTTAATATTTATTTTTTCCTCTGTCATGATGCTTTTGATGTCTTGTGTGTAGCACTTTGAATTGCCTTGTTGAAATGTGCTATATAGATAAACTTGCCTTGCCTATCTATCTGCCTACCTCCATACCCACCTACTCAACATCTGTATTTAAAATAGAAAAATCCCTCGACATCCATTTCATCAAGTGTGTAGGAGAGAAATGTGAATCAAAAACTTCAAGGTTAACTCCCTCACGCCGTCTAATTAGCAAACATTTACTGGCAACGTTTGGGTACTAGACCTTCCTCAGGCCAACAGTTTTTTAAAAGGTGCAGAACTCCTGGGGCGGCTGTGGCTCCGCCACAGTTTGGCAAGACACCTAACCCCACATTGCTCCCGCTGCTTCAGTGGTGGTTTATGACTGTTGTTCTTACTCTCTGATGTATGTCGCCTTGGATAAAAGTGTCTGCTAAGTGAATTGTAACATTGTAACATATACAACAACAGGAAGTGGCTACAATCCTACAACCAATCATCTTCATGACTTCAGCTTTGAATCAACAAATTAAAAAACAAAACATCAGCTTCCTGGTTGAGAGCACACAGAGAGCACTAAAGGGCCCAAATAGAGCTATAGTACTCAAAATCAGTTTTGGTCTCAAGACTCAAGACTTTGAAGGTGTCGGTCTCGCCAGGAATCTAAATCATATTTATTCAGTCTTGTCTCGGTCTCAGTCCGGGCGGACTCTGGATTTTAAGTCAAGACCAGTCAAGACCTCCACTGATCGGCTATTTTCTACGTCATTAACATGATTAGAAGGAAAACGCCTCTTTCTAAAAGAACAAATAACTTAAATTAATTTGTTGGTCTTGTTGTCTCGGAGCACTCTGGTCTCTGGTTTGTCCTGGTCTCGGTTAGTGTGGTCTTGAATACAGCACTAGTTCCTTCCTATTTAAGATGTCCTGCCCTTTTGATAAACTTTTTTCCTGATGAAGGTCTAGTATCCAAACGTTGCCCTGTGAGATGCTATACACAAACACCACATTATATTACTATTGTGCTCCTACAGCATCTAAGCAGCAGGTTTGTACTGTGATATCACTACATTTACCTAAGCAAAGGATTGTTGAACACAGTTCTTTGACTGGCATAATCATTTGTTTATGAAAAAGAATCGCCTGTGTTTTATTGCCTCTGTCTTATTGGGAGATTTACTAAAAGACATTTTTAGGTTTTATTGTGGGGTGTGAATTTAGAGTTGAACTCTGTCTCTATGGGTGTGACTGTTCTTTACAGCTCTCACGGTGTCAGGGAACGCTCCGGTGAAGACAACATAGAAGGTATCATTTTCACTGCAGAGTGCATTATTCATCTCAGTATATTCCCTTGTGAGTTAAAACTTAGTTCATTTTTATTTAGAATATTCTTCCTGTTATTTTCTGGAAGAGACGGCCAGCAGTGCGAGGAGACGTCAAAGAAGTTAAGAGGTAAGAGATTCACTTCCTGATTAAAACATATAAGTGAATAAAGATTGCCAATTCAGATGTTCTTTGTGTTGCAGGAGATATCTTTGGAATAAACCTGTAACTTTGTTTATTTGTCAGACAATCATTCATCATAAAACTGTTATTTTTCAAAGTCTTAGTAGTCCATATTATGGGTTGCCAATAAATGTTTGTTTGCAAGTTAGACAGTGAGTGGGAGTTTATCTTTAAGTACAGAAGAACATAATGTAATGAAAAGGGTTTAATCATGAGATCAGCTCTACAGTGTCAGACCCAGTCTAGGCAGGAAAAACAGCATTGCCGACTTGCAGATGAGGAAATAGAAATGATTGAGCCAGAGCCAGGACAGAAATGACCTGAAACAGCTGGTGTTGACACCTGATGTTTATATTGGAATTACTTCCGTCTTAATTGACTTAG